GGCACAAGCCATCTGGCCTGGCTTTTTAAAAGTGTTTTTGTAGAGATGGGGTCTTGCTATGTTGCCCAGGCTGGTCTTGAACTCCTGGGCTCAAGTGATTCCCCAGCCTTGGCCTCCGAAAATGCTAGTATTACAAGTGTGAGCCACCACACCTGGCATTTACTTTTTTCATTTTTTAAAAAAAAGTTTATTTTTATTTTATGAAGATGGGATCTCACTACATTGCCCAGGTTGGACTTGAACTCCTGGGCCCAAGTGATCTTCCTGCCTTGACCTCCCAGAGTGCTGAGATCGCAAGCGTGAGCCTCCTTGCCCAGCCCACACAGAGATTTTTGATCACTTCTCCTCTCCTCCCCACCACCCACACTCTAGTCCAGCCACCATGGTTTCCCCTGAACCAGGACAGTGGCGTCCTCACTGGGCTCTCAGCTTCCACCATCACCCCCTGCAGTCCATTCTCCACCTAGCAGTCAGAGGGTCTTGAGGTCTCCATCAGCTCACACCCTCCTCAGCTCAGAAGCCACCCATGACTCCCACCTCATCCAAAGTGCACATAGTGGCCAGGCACGATGGCTCACACCTGGAATCCCAGCACTCTGGGAGGCCAAGGTGGGTGGATCACTTGAGGTCAGGAATTCGAGACCACCCTGGGCAACATGGCAAAACCCCATCTCTACTAAAAATACAAAAATTAGCTGGGCGTGGTGGCACATGCCTGTAGTCCCAGCTACCTGGGAGGCTGAGGCAGAAGTATATATAGCTTGAACCCGGGAGACGCAGGTTGCAGTGAGCAGAGATCGCACCACTGCACTCCAGCCTGGGTGACACAGCAAGACGCTGTCTCAGAAAAAAAACAATTGCACACTGTGGCCCATGAGGCCCTGATCTGTCTGCCTGTCCCCTCTCGCCTCACCTCCTCCTCTTGCTCTCCCCACTCCCTCTTGCTTCAGCCACTCTGGCCTCTCTGTTCCTTGAACAAACCAAGCACACCACCTTCAAGGCTTTTGCACTTACTGTCCCCTCAGCCCCCTTCTGCCCAGTAACCAGCCCCTCCAGCATCCCCATCACCCTTACCCTGCTTTCCCCCTTTTGTGTTTACCACAACTTGATAGAACACATATGGAAGTTATTAATCACATTTTATGTCTGTGTCCCCACTAATGTTTAGTTCTATTACGAGCAGGAATTTTGTTTTTGAAACAGAGTCTCAGCCGGGCACGGTGGCTCACACCTGCAATCCCAGCACTTTGGGAGGTTGAGGCAGGTGGACCATGAGGTCAGATCAAGACCATCCTGGCCAACATGGTGAAACCATCTCTACTGAAAAAAAAAAAAAGCTGGGTGTGGTGACTCGCACCTGTAGTCCCAGCTACTCGGGAGGCTGAGACAGGAGAATCACTTGAACCCGTGAGGCAGACGTTGCAGTGAGCTGAGATCTCACCATTGCACTCCAGCCTGGCAGACAAGAATGAGACTCAGGCTGGAGTGCAATGGCACAATCTCAGCTCACTGCAACCTCCTCATCCCAGGTTCAAGCAATTCTCCTGCGTCAGCCTCCCCAGCAGCTGTGATCACAGGCATGTGCCACCACACCTAGCTGATTTTTGTATTTTTAGTAGAGATGGGGTTTCACCATGTTGGCCAGGCTAGTCCGCAGCTCCTGACTTCAGGTGATCCACCCTCCTCGGTCTCCCAAAGTGCTGGGATTGCAGGTGTGAGCCACCACGCCTGACCAATAATTTTATTTCTTGTCTGTGTCTCCATTAATATTCAGTTCCATTGAGAGTAGGAATTTTTGAGACAGGGTCTTGCTCTCTTGCCCAGGCTGGAATGCAGTGGTGCAGTCACAGCTCCCTGTAACCTTGACCTCCCAGACTCAAACCATCCTCTCACCTCACCTGCCCAAGCAGCTGGGACTACAGGCACGCCCCACCATGCCAAGCTAATTTTGTATTTTTTGGAGACAGGATCTCACTATGTTGCCCAGGCTGGTCTCAAACTGATGACCTCAAGTGATCCTCCTACTTTGGCCTCCCAAAGTGCTGGGGTTATAGGCATGAGCCATTGTGCCTGGCCGAGAGCCAGAATTGTTGCCTGTTGTATTGACCACTGTGTATTCAGTGTTTAAAATAAGCCTTGGCACACAGCAGATGCTCAAAAAATACTTGTGGGTTTTAGAGGGGAGTTGTTGTCTTTTTTTTAGTTTTTAGAGACAGGGTCTTGCTGTTTCCAGGCTGGAGTGCAGTAGTGTGTCCAAAGCTCACTGCAGCCTCGGCCTCCTAGGCTTAAGCAATCCTCTCATCTCAGCCTCCTGAGTAGTTGGGACTGCAAGCGTGCACCACCACGCCCGGCTAATTTTTAATTTTTTTGTCAAGACAAAGTCTTGCTATGTTACACAGGCTGGTCTCTAACTTCTGGCCTCAAGTGATCCTCCAGCTTTGGCCTCCCAAAGTGTTGGGATTACAGGCAAGAGCCACTGTGCCCAAACTAAAAAAATGTGTTAAAAGAAAGATTAAACAATAGAGACCAAAAGAGAAACAGGAGGAGAAAAAGGAGGAGAGAGGAAGGGAAGGAGATAGGGGCGGGCTGCTGCGGCTAGGAAACTGGAAAGCTGTGGGGTGCGGGGCCGGGGAGGGGGGGCAAGGTGGGAGAAAGTGTTAGGGCGAGATATATATGGGGGAGAGAAGAAAGAAAATAAGCTAGGGCTGGGTGCAGTGGCTCACACCTGTAATCCCAGCACTTTGGGAGGCCAAGGCGGGCAGATCACCTGAGGTCAAGAGTTTGAGACCAGCCTGGCCAACATGGTGAAACCCCCTCTCTACTAAAAATACAAAAATTTGTTGAGTATGGTGGTAGGCGCCTGTAGACCCAGCTACTTGGGAGGCTGAGGCAGGAGAGTCGCTTGAACCCGGGAGGCGGAGGTTGCAGTGAGGCAAGATTGCGCCACTGCACTCCAGCCTGGGCAACAGAGTGAGACTCCATCTCAAAAAAAAAAAAAAGAAGAAGAAAAAGAGAATGAGGTGGGAACAGAGAGCAATAGGGAGGAGACCAAATGAGTCAGAGATACAGAGCAGGAGAGAGAATAAATACCAAGTGACACCATAGACACACAGGACGCACAAAGACTGAGACGCAGAGAGAGACACAGGATGTACAAAGATTGAGATGCAGAGGCAAACACAGAAAGAGAAAAGAGCCAGGAGACACAGAAACAAGGAAACGAACAAGGAGGAGAAAATGGGGCTGGGAGAAAAGAGGTGAGAAGCAAAGAGCGGGGCAGCTAGGGACTGAGGTGGAGAGGCCCCTCCCTCAAACTCACCATTTGCTGGTGCCAGGGCTTTGGGCTGACTTGCTATCCCCAGGGGATCCCAGCTGGGGCTTTTGAAGCCCTGAGGGACAGGTGGTGCAGACAGACAACATGTGACATCGTTCTCAGGGCTTGAGATCACCAGCTTATTTATTCCTCAGAGCAAGTCTATGAAATAAGTACAATGAGCATCTTCATTCTACAGAACCACGGAGGCAGGGCCAGCTGCAGTGGCTCACACCTATAATCCAGTGCTTTGGGAAGCCAAGGCAGGAAGATCACTTAAGTCCAGGCGTCCAAGATCAGCCTGGCTAACATAGCAAGACCCCATTTCTACTAAACGGAAAAAAAAAAATTTTTTAATTTTAAATAAATTTTAAGGCGGGGCACAGTGGCTCACATCTGCAATCCCAGCACTTTGAGAGGTCAAGGTGAGCAAATCACCTGAGGTCAGGAGTTAGAGACCAGCCTGGCTAACATGGTAAAACCCCATCTCTACTAAAAATACAAAAATTAGTCGGGCATGGTGGTGTGCACCTGTAATCCCAGCTATTCAGGAGGCTGTGGCAGAATGACTTGAACTCGGGAGGCAAAGGTTGCAGTGAGCTGAGATCACGCCACTGCACTCCAGCCTGGGTGACAGAGCAAAACTCCGTCTCAAAAAATATACACAAAGAAACTTTTTAAAAAAAGAAACAGAGAAACTGAGTGACCTGCCAAAGCCACACAAGTAATGAGAAGAGCTGGAATTTGAACCCAGGCAGTCTGGCCCCTGTCAGTGCCCGTAACTTCACCTATGCTGCCTGTCAAGAAGTGCTGGCTGCCTGGATTCCCCTTGTGTCCACAGCCACCCTCTGGGGAGAGGTGGTGGGTAAAGGGGGAGGGGACCAAAGTAGCTGACCTTCGTAACTACATCCACAGATGTCCCAGAGCCACAGTGTAAGAGAAGAGGCTCAGTCTCCCACTACTGGGAAGGCCTCCAGCTCAAGGAGGAGGCTGGACAGGAGCCAGCTTCCTGCATGTCGGATCCCAGGTGCTGCCCAAAGCCAGACCTCAGTCTTCCAGGACGGAACATGGACTAGCTCACCTCAGACTCCTTCCCCAGCAGCTAGACCTCAGTTTCCTGGCCTTGATTTCCTAGCAGTGTGGCAGGCCAGAGAGGCCACAACAGTCTTCCAAGGCAGCGCAGGGCTTTGGTCTTTTGTTCTGAGATTTCCAGACAGGCTGAGAAGCAGCCCCCCACCCCCACCACCACCGCCATGCACCCTCATCTCTCTGACCCCAGGAAGAGGGCCAGCATCACTCCCTCTCAGCAGCCAACTGAGATCCCCATGTGATTTAGCCTCTGTCCCTGACGTGATAATCACACTAACAGCAATTCCCAGAACCCCAGCTATTATCCTAAATCATCCCACCCCTCCTGTCTCCTGTACTGTAACAGAGAACACTCTGCTTCTCTCCAGAGACATTTGTCCTCTGCTCCGAGCACACAAAAAACTGGGAAGCCCTTCCCACTGTCTGACCTTCAAAGGTCCTGCTGCTGCTAAGCTTCTCCTTACTCCAATCAAGAACAGAAAGACACCTTAAGGAAGGGGAACAGCCCGGCCTGGACAAGACAGACAAAAGCCATACCCCAGGAAGGTGTTCCCCACACAAACTTGGTGGGGGGCATCTCCACAGACAACAGGACAGGCACAGCACAAGGCAGCCGGGGCTGTGGTTTATTGCAGATGGACACGGATTCAGGGAGGTGAGGAGGCAGATGGGCTGTGGGTTCTGTGCTCAGCATCCCACAGGGGGAGGGGCAGGTGACAGAGGTCAGGATGGGGTCTTCCTGATGGTGGAGGATCCGGCCTGACCACAGAGGAGCTGCAAGAAGCAAGGCCCCGAGCCGGCACCCCCTGGGCCCCCATTCCTCAGGATGAGGACTCCGGAGACGCTGGGCGATGTCATTAGGAAGGATCCCCGGCGCATCCGCAGTGTGGAGCACAGAGCTCTCGAGGACTGGCGATCCTGGTTGGGGTGGAAGGGATGGTTACCCGGGTCCTCGCCCCTCCGAGGCCTCCGGCGTCTCTCCGGGTGTCTGGCGGCTCGGGCGGCGGCCAGGGTTGCTGTAGCGGCGGCGGCGGCGGCGGCGGCGGCTCAGCTGCAGCTGGAGTTGCGGTCGCGGGCCGCCGGGGACTCCCAGGAGGCAGGAGACGGAGGCAGCGGCGGGCGCCGGGACAGGCGGTGCGCCCGGGCGGTTGGCACACGGAGCGGCCGGCGCGCTGGGCTGTGGGCCGGCGGGCGCCGCGGGGGACCGCGTGGGCACCCAGATGAGACCGTAGTACACGGCGAGCAGGACGGCGGCCAAAGAGACGCAGAGGAAGTAGGCGCAGACCGGGGCCAGGCGGAGCCAGCGTCCCCGCGGGCCCTCGCTCAGCCCCGCACCGCCGGGGCTCTCGCCACCGCCGCCCACGCAGCTGGTGCCCCGCATCCCCGCAGCCCAGTCGGCCCCGCGCCGCGGACCGCACAGGCCCCGCCCCCGCTAGGCCCCGCCCCCGCCCCGCAGGACCGCCCCGCGCTCCAAATCGCCCACCTCCGGCCCCACCCCCGCCAGGCATGGTCACACCCCCGCGCGAGCGGCCGCCTCTGCATCCTTAGGCCCACCTCCCCCCCAACCACCGCCCCGCGGAGGCTCTAGTCCCGCTCCCGCGCTTAGCCCCACCACCGCTATCACCGCCTCCTCCCACTACAACCCTGTCCGCTCCCCGGACCCGGACTTCATCCAGTCCAGGCGTCTAGCCCGCCTCGGAGCCCGCCCCCTCATCCCGCCCAAGCCCCGCCTGGAGCCCTGCCCCGCCTGGGGCCCTACCCCGCCCTCCGCCGCAGCCAGGCTCAGTTCTCTCTTCCCGTCGGACCGTCTACTCCGCCCTCTGGCTCCCACACTCTAGTCAGGAGTCCCCGCTTTCCTTCTCCGCGGGCTCCCACTCGGCACCCTGCCCGCGCCCCCGCTGGCGGCTCCGCCGCATGCCCGTGACAGGAGACCCAGCGCCGCGCCCTGACCCCGCCCCCTGCTCTAACTCCGCCTGCCCGGATTTCGGCCCCGCCCCGCGGGACCCGCCCACCTCCAGACACGCTCAGCCGCCCTTTCAGGTGTCCTCAGCATCACCTCAGGCTCCCAGGTTCCAGCTCCGCCCCTAACGTCAAACGCGCCCCTTCTCCCAGCTGCTCCCCCACCGTCAGCTTCTCCCGGTCCCTAGAGCCATGGGGTCCAGACTAGGCTCTGGGGAAGAGAGAGCACAGCCTGGAAATCCAGATAAACCCTTCCTGACGACCCCTCCCCATCAAGGTGGGGACGCTTCAGTCCCCTCCCAGCAGCGTCTTCAGGAATTCGGGGAGGCCTGCAGGAGGGGGGAGGGAAGACGGATCAGGGAGGTGAAGGAAGACCCCCTTCCTCCCGCCTCTTCCGCCATGGAAAAGCCCGCCAAGCACAGCGACCCAGCCTGCCCCTCCAGAAACAGTTCAAGGGTGAGCGGAAGCACTGCGTTTAATAGGACAGGGCTGGCGCCCGAGTAAGTCAAGCCCTTCGGAAGAGTCACCGGCTATCTGCTAGGCCCGGGTACAATCATGGAGGCGGGAGATTCGGCCTGGGGACTGCCCCGAGCCGCCCAGGGCCTCCATGAGAGGCTAATGCGGAGGAGTCCCAGCCGTCCGGGTGCCGCGACATCCCCCGTTTGTAGGGGCCAGCACCGATTACTGCCCCGGCCTCGCCCAGCTCGCAGACCCTGGCTCCTCCCCCCTCACATTTAACCCTCTCCTGGCTGGAATGTGGTAGCAGAGGATAGAGGAGCGAGGCGGTGGGAGGTTAGTGCAGAGCGCAGAGGCCGCGGTCCGGCGGGCGCGGTCAGCGAGCGGCCCCCGGGGGCGGAGGGGCCGCCACCACCTTGCAGAAACGCACCCTCTGGAAGTCAGTGATCTCCGCCGTCTCCTGGCCCTCGGGACCCGCCTCTGGGGAGAGAAGGGGCTGAGTCAGCAGAGGGGAGCGGTCTCCCCACCTCCCCGCAGGCCCAGGACCCCCCTCGTCTAGCCACGCCCCTCACCCCGTTGTAGCCTGGCCACTGCGGGCCTGGCGCTAAGCGGCTTACGGGCCCTGGACTCTTAATCCTGTCAGCGGACCCATGCAGCAGCAAACATCCCCAACAGAACCCTGTTTACAACCGAGGAAACGCAGGTGTGGCGAGATCTGCCTCCCAACACGTGGCCTAAGGCAGACCGGGCCCCGCGCCACCCGCCGCTGCAAACTGTCCTCTCCCACCCCCGCCAACCTCCACCAAAACAGTCCTAGAGGAGCCGCCCTCCCCTCTCCTTCCCCAGCCTGCTATTCTAAACCAATCCTTCCTCTGTTCGGCCCCCAAATCCTAATCCCACTCTGCGGGGAGGGGAGGCCGTCCGAGATTCGAAATCTTATTCCCACGGGGTTTAAGAGAGGGGCCTGGCCTCTTGCTCGCACTCCGTCGGTCCCAAAATTCTGATCGGGTCTGCATCTCTATTCTAATTTGCCCCAGTAGGCTGCACCTCAAAAACTGATCCCAGCCACAGTTAAATCCAGTTTTCTGCCCTTGCCCATCTGTTTGGCCTTTTCCAGACAGTTCCATTTCGAAGTCCACCTTTAGCTCCTGCCCTAGGACACCAAGCCCCAACATCCCTCCTTTTTTTTGTTTGTTTTTTTTTGAGACGGAGCCTCGCTCTGTCTCCTAGGTGGGAGTGCAGTGGAGCAATTTCGGCTCACTCCAGCCTCCGCCTCCCAGGTTCAAACGATCCTCCTGCCTCTCAAGTAGCTGGGATTACAGGCGTGCACCACCCCCCCCCAGCTAATTTTATTTTAGTAGAAACGGGGTTTCACCATGTTGGACACACTGGTCTCACACTCCTTAACTCAAGTGATCTGCCCACTCTGGCCTCCCCACGTGCTGGGATTACAGGCATGAGCCACCGTGCCCCACTGCATCCCATTACTCTTAAACCGGTGCTTTCTAAAACCCCGAGCTGGACCCCGAAATTCTAATCCTTTCCTCATCCCACCTCCTCGACCTCCACCCACATACCCAAATTCCGATTGGCTTGGCCCGTAAAGCCGCCCCTCAGCTCCACCCCCACATCTCTATCTCAGCCCTTCTCATTTCACCAATTGGTCCCATTGCTGCCTACACACATTCCACTCCCCCCAAGCTCTCAGCCCCAGAGAAAGAGGAAGCAGCAGCCTCCACCCCCTGCCCCATGCACTCCCCCACCTGGAGTTGCCTCAGACCCCTCCTCTTCAGCTTTCTGGGATCCTGGGAGGCTGGGCCCGCTCTCCAGGGAAGCCGGGGCTGACTGGTCACCTCCTAGGGAAGGGGAGGCCCAGTCAAGCCCCCTTTCCAACTTGACATCTCCCCACCCCAAGAGAGAAGGCCCAGGGGGAGTTGGTGGGGGGGGGGGTTCAAGGACACACCTGGGGGAATGTTATTTGAGGATGTGAATTCTTTATTGGGGAGGGGGCTCGAAAAGCTGGGGCAGGCTCCTGGAATGGGCATTCCAGAGACAGGCATGACAGTACAGAGGGGCATGGGCTGCCCTCCCCAGCTGACAGGGCTGTGGGGCACACTGGGTCCTGGGGCCCAGCCCGAGGGTCCCCACCAGTCACACCCCTCCAGCGCACTCATTCACACACAGACAGCCAGTTTCATGCATTCCCAAAAGGCCAGGCCTCACCCGGAGAGAGGGCGCCAGCCGGGTGGGTAGTCCGGGGAGAATTCAGCTCCACCTCTTCACCCCAATCGGACACAGGCTGGTGGCCACTGGGTGGCGAGAAAGGGCTGGAAGGTGTGGCAGGGGCCTGGGGCTCCGGCAGGGGCTCCTCCGGCCTGAAGGGGGCTCCATGGGCCTGCTCACTGCAGGGGCTCTGGGTAGGGCTGGCTGCCGAAGGGGCTTCGTGGTCTTGGGCTGGTTCCTCCTCCTCATCACCTCCTTCTTCCGCCTCAATCTCCTCCTCGTCCTCACTTATGTCCTCCCATTCTTCATCCTCTTCCCCCTCATTCTCCTCATTCTCTTCCCCCTCATCTTCAGGAGGCTGGTGGGCAGGTGCTGGGGTCTCGGGTGGCTGTGGGGACACAGGCAGGTCAGGGCAAGGCATGGGCTCTGAGTCCCCATCCCAGGCCCATGCCCTGAACCGCAGCCTGGCCTCACCTGCATGGGTGTCTCCACGAGGGGAGTGGGCTCTGGAGCCTCAGGGGCTGGAGATGCTGCCCTCTCTTTTGTCTCCCATCGGTCATCATGGTCACTAGAATGGACAGAGAGTGGACAGGAGAAAGGGGCTTCCTGACTCCACCCTCCTTAGGGAGGAGCTACCCGGAGCACATGGCATGCTGGAGCACTGAGGGAATGGCGGAGGTGTGTCCCAGGTGTCAGGGACAGATAGAAGGCGGAGCAGGTGGCAGGAGGGGACATGGGTGAGGCAGAAAGGATAAACCAAGAGCCAGATTCCAAGCCCCTGAAACCAAGTACCTGTGAGATAGACAGGGCCAAGACAAAGACAGGGACAGACATGTGCCCACACCTTCACAGCAAGCTAGGGAAAGCCCTGGGGTGTGCAAGCTTCGGAAAGGGTGCCCCACCTGTAGGCCCAGGGTGCTGACTTGGACTGGGGCCGGCTGCTCTTTCTCCTCCTGCGGCTGCTAGACTCGGCTTTGTGCTGGGACAGGAACTCTCCAAAAGTAGGGGGCTTCGGGGGCCGGGCCCAGGCCTGGTCATCTGCAACAGAACACCCAGGCATTATCAGGAAGGGAGGGTCGTGGCACACACCACCCCCAACTCCCAGGACCTGCCTGACCCCAGCGAAGGGCACCCACTCACCATAGCGGTGGGATGGTTCTCGAGCAGGGACTGGGCCGTCCTTGAACCTGGGGAAAGATAACGGGTAAGCAGGCAGGTGGGGACAGGGTAGCAAGAGGAGCAAGTTGACATAGGAGGTCAAGGTCAGATATCAGAGCAGAGACAGATGGCCACACAGGGCCAGGCATGGTGGTGCACACTGTAATCCCAGCTACTCGGAGGCTGAGGAGGGAGGACTGCTTGAGCCTGTGAGTTCAAGGCTGCAGTGAGCCGTGATCAAGCCACTGCACTCAAGTCTGGGTGACAGCAAGAGACCCTATCTCAAAAAAAAAAGAATGGACCAGGGCAAAGCTGACATCATAGTGACAAATCAAAAGATGCAGAACGTGGCCACCAAAACAAAAATTTGGATCACAACAGACCCCTGCCCAAGTACATGACCTCCAGCTCCCTGTCTGACCTTTCCCACCAGTCCTCACCTCTCCAGCCAGGCAGGCTCTTCCCCACACCTAGCTCCTGCCTCACGGCCTCGCCGCCTGCTCCCAGGACGCTCTTCCCCCATTTTTCAGTGGCTCATTCCTCACCGCCTTCAGGGCTCCGCTCAGAGGCCTTCCTGAAACCCCAGCCAGGAAACCAGTAGGGCTGGGCACAGTGGCTCATGCCTGTAATCCCAACACTTTGGGAGGCCAAGGTGGGCGGATCACTTGAGGCCAGGAGTTAGAGACCAGGATTGTGGGTAACACCCCCATGGGACCCGAGGAAGGAGAACTGTCCAGACCCCAGGCACGACTGGTACCTGGAGAATACCTTACAGTGTCCTTGCTCAGCTGCTTCCTTTATATAATCCTTCATATACAATCATACATTAGTTTATAGAATTAGTGCTTGAAGTATAACTTACTGCTCACATATATCCAGCATGCTTAGTTCTATATAATCATATCGGTATTGTAGTCGGAGCTGTACTGACATATTTACTGCTGATTTATATAATCCTTCTATATAACCATATAGTAGTTTATAGTAGGGGGAATGCCTCCAACAGTCACAGAACAGAAGCAGTACATGGGAAAACAGCCAGACCAGGATGAGAACCAAAGATCCAGGTGGTGGCGTCCCTTCCTGAAAGGGCATACGCTGTATGGCAGGTTGGAGCAAGAGCCCCTCCTCCTGATAAAGGAGGTGTAGCACCTGCATCCAGCTCCTGCGGAAAGTAGGCCTCAGGCCTGAGATCCTGGAATTAACCGAGGGAGAAGAACCCCTCTGGTGTGACCAGTCACGGCGCTGTACACTCTGTCACTTTTCTCCATTCTGTGCTAGCTCAAAGAATCCTCCCATAAATATCTTAAAAGAGCACAAGTCTATCAGCTCCCACTGCATTGGCTTACAGTATCCTTCTATTAGAAATCCTTTGAAGTCTCCAGCTCCCAGATAAGAAGTGTTGCGCACGACACCTGTTGCACACAGCCCACCTCCTTGCCTCGGTGACCTAATGGGGGTAAGCCCCTTTTCTATACACAACCCTCAACTACTGTGCATGGCACGGCCCCCTACTGTAGGCTTTGTAATAGGGCATACATGTGAGTTATAAGTGAGGGGACCACCCCCAGGTGACATAATGGGGTGGTCCCCTCACTTATAACTCACATGTATGCCCTATTACAAAGCCTACAGATGATGACCTCACTCACAACCCTGCCCCCTGCTTGTACCTAATAAACACAGATGCTCTGGGACATTTGGGGGCCTCGCCAATCTCCACTCACAGGTGGTGTGGCTCCCCGAGTCCAGATGCTCTTCACCACTTCTTCAGTGTCCTGTCTCTTTACCTCTTGGATCCTGCAACTCAACACAGCATAAGGGACACCCCACAACCCTGTGGGGCCTCCAAAGCCCTACACAGGATTAAACCATCTCTTTTTTTTTGAGATGGAGTTTCGCTCTTGTTACCCAGGCTGGTGTGCAATGGCGTGATCTCGGCTCACCGCAACCCCCGCTTCCCGGGTTCAGCCAGTTCTCCTGCCTCAGCCTCCTGAGTAGCTGGGACTACAGGCATGCGCCACCATTCCCAGCTAATTTTTTATATTTTTTTAGTAGAGACGTGGTTTCACCATGTTGACCAGGATGGTCTCGATCTCTTGACCTCGTGATCCACCCGCCCCGGCCTCCCATAGTGCTGGGATTACAGGCTTGAGCCACCGCGCCTGGCCAGGATTAAACCATCTCTACTAAAAATACAAAAATTAGCCGGGCATGGTGGCAGGCACCTGTAATCTCAGCTACTCGGGAGGCTGAGACAGGAGAATCACTTGAACGCAAGAGGCAGAAGTTGCAGTGAGCTGAGATAGTGCCACTGCACTCTAGTCTGGATGACAGAGCAAGACTCCATCTCAAAAAAAAAAAAGGTATTATTACACAAAATATCTAAGTCTAAAATTCTACCCCCCACCCTGGCTGCTTCCTCTGCTTCACTATCTTTCCAGACCTGACATTACACCTCATTACCCGCCTTGCCCACTACACTCTTATTCCGCAAAGGCAGAAATGTTTCATTTGCCACTGTTACCTAGAACTTTCCATAACATAGGGAGACTCAAATATGTGCTGACAAAAGCAAGGCACCATACATTTTTTAAATTTTTTATACAGACGGGGTTTCTCCACGTTGGTCAGGCCGGTCTAGAACTCCCAACCTGAGATGATCCACCCAACTTGGCCTCCCAAAGTGCTGCGTTTAGAGGCGTGAGCCACCGCGCCCAGCGGCATTTTTTTTTTTTTTAATAGATGGGGTTTCACCATGTTGGTCAGGCCGGTCTTAAACTCCCGACCTCAGATGATCCACCCGCCTTGGCCTCCAAAGTGCTTGGATTACAGGCATGAGCCACCACACCCAGCCCGCATTTTTCTTTAAAGACAGGTTCTTGCTTTGTGGTCCAGGCAGGAGTACAGCAGCGTGATAATGGCTCACTGCAGACCCCCTGGGTTAGGCAATCCTCCAGCCTCGGCCTCCCAAAATGCTGGGATTACATGTGAGTCACTACACCCAGCCATGAATGAAAACCTTCAGCACAGGAAAGAATGGGGGGGTGATGTAAAACCTAATGGTGCTGATCTTTCAAGACTGCCATATATCGGCTCTTCCAGAACCTTCTGCTTCTCAGCTATGGAAGTTAGTCCTCATGTGGATGATGCGGTGAGGCCTTTAAGTCTGACTGAATGCGAGGACACAGTGAAACTTGAGGGTAATGACGCCACTGGGATAAGAAGGTGGTGGTGAGGCATGGAGAGACGTTCAGGGATCTGGGTTAGTGGGGACAGGTCAGAGGCGGGTGGGAGGATGCAAAGGTCTAATCACTGTTCAGCAGCCTTCACGAGCACCACCGCCACCGGAGATCCTATCCACTCGAGTGAGTGGAGCTTATTTCCCGGCCCCAGTGAGGCGGGTTATGCTGGCGAACAGGACCGGGAAGTGTGCCCGCTTGTGCATCTGCCCTGTCAGCACAAGCACTCCCCAGGCAGCTGCTACCCCCAGCCTGGACAGCAGAATGACCACCCTGGAGCAGAGTGAGTTCGCCCTGCCACAAGGAGCCAAGCCCCATGGGACTCACAGCTTAGCATCCAGCCTGGATCAGCTGAGCCCAGCTCACCCGTGAACACATAAAAAACGCTCTCATCCCAGCTACTTGGGAGGCTGAGTCAGGAGAATTGCTTGAACCCAGGAGGTGGAGGCTGATGGGCCAAGATCCTGCCACTGCACTCCAGCCTGAGTGACAGAGTGAGACTCCTGTCTCCAAAAAAAAAAAACCCAGAAATGCTCTCCTGTGCTGCTGAGATCTGAGCTGACCCACAGCATCTCAAAATACGGCAGTCACTCACTCATACGCAGCAGGAGAAACCAGGGAGAAGCACAGGATTTACAAGTCAGGGCCAAGGTCAGGGAGCCCAGGGAGGAGCGGGGAGGGGAACTGGGGGGGAGCAGGGAAGGGAACAGGGAGGGATCGGGAGGGGAGCGGCAAGGGGACTCACATCCCATCAGTCTTCTCCGCGTCCCACTCGCGCCGCCACTGGCCAGTGGGCTTGCGGTGTCTCTGCAGCCGCTCCTGGTCGATCTTCTCCCTCTCCTGCTTCCAGCGCAGGTACTCTGACCGCTCCCGGCCCGTCATGGACAGCGTCATATCTCCAGTACTGCCCAGGCCAGCTCGGCGGCCCTGCCCCCCAGTGCACAGGTAGTCAGGGCACTGTCGCACATCCCACCCCATTCCTAAGCCCCCAGGCACATCCACTTGCTCAGGTTCACACAGGGAAGCGGTGACAAGGCAGAAATCACAACTAAGTCAGCTCGGGTGGCACCTCCTCAGAGAGGCCCTCCCAGATCTCCTAAGTAGCATCCCTCTGTCCCCTCAGCTGCTGGATTTTTCTCCACAACAGTTGGCAGGGCCTCTTACTATGTTTTCATTTACTCAGCTCAGGGGATCTGCCTCAAAACTCTAATCCCCAGCTCCTAACACAGTGCCTATGAAAGAAAAAAAAGCCAGGCGCAGTGGCTCACACCTGTAATCCCAGCACTTTGGGAGGCTGAGACAAGTGGATCACGAAGTCAGGAAACCAAGACCAGCCTGGCCAACAGGGTGAAACCCTGTGTCTACTAAAAATACAAAACTTAGCTGGGTGTGGTGACACCCGCCTATAATCCCAGCTACTCAGGAGGCTGAGACAGGAGAATTGCTTGAACTCGGGAAGTGGAGGTTGCAATGAGCTGCAGCCCAGGTGACAGAGCAAGACTGTCTCAAAAAAAAGAAAAACAGTGCCTGGCACATAGTAGGTGCCCAGTAAACAATACTAAACATACCATAAAGCAGTAACAACTAGAGCAGTGTGGTACTGGGAGAAGAATCAACAGACGGACAATTTAGGACCACCAAGTGCAAGGACATTGCCCCTCCCTCCCCTCCCAGGCCTGGTCCCCACTCCTCACACAGCACCTGCCACCTGGTAGGTGCCTCACAAATGCCGGTGTCATTAACAATGAGGAATGACTTGCCTCAGCAGGAAACAAAACACACAATAAATCCTTAATAATTAAAATCCTGGCCAACCGCAGTGCCTCACACCTGTAATCCCAGCATTTCGGGAGGCCAAGGCACGTGGATCACTTGAGGTCAAGAGTTCGAGACCAGCCTGTCCAACGTGCTGAAACACTGTCTCTACTAAAAATACAAAAAAAAATTAGCCAGATGTGGTGGTGCTCACCTGTAATCCCAGCTACTTGGGAGGCTGAGGCAGGAGAATTGCTTGAACCCGGGAGGTGAAGGTTGCAGTGAGCCAAGATGGTGCCACTGCACTCCAGCCTGGGTGACAGAGCAAGACCCCGTCTCAAATGAAAAAAAAACATTGTGTGTGCTATGGCACAAATAAGGAGAGGCCCCACTGCCCTCATCTGTCTGGTTGCCACCGCACACAGTCCGCATCAGAGCCGTGGGGTGTCCCAGCTGCCATCACCCACCTGCCGCTCATGCTCGAGGCCACAGCGCACCCGCTCAAAGTCGGAGCCCCCCCAGTTGCGCCCATGCCGGCGGCTGTCCTCCCGGCGGTCCCGCTCAGACTCTTCCAGGGGCCCGCTGCGTCGCCGGGGGTCATCCAGGAAGTTCCGCACAGGGTTGGGCTCGAGCACCCCTTCCTGCAGGCACGGGAGCAGGGGGTTGGCACAGGCTCCGCACCCGGGCTCAGCCCACCATGGGAACACTCACACCACTGACCCGCTGGTTGCGCTCATACTCTGCGATCTTCTCCATCTCCTCGTTCATCTTCTCAATGTTCTGCCTGCGCCGCTCCTCCCACTCCTGGGGGGATAAGGACAGACACACCCCACTTCAGGGAGAACTATGAAGCCGAAGGTGCAGGAGGGGACCACCCCACAGGCCTGAGGTGGCTCTCCTTGGACTGGCCTCCTGGCCAGGCAGGTCCTTGGTGGGCATTTGCTCTCAGCGTCTCTGGGTCAGAGGTGAACTGGTACGGCTGGCTCACCCGGCCTAGACTACGCGAACAACTATACGCTGCACTCACTTTTCTACTGGGGAGTCTGGAATTTCAGTCACACTAGACAGAGGCGGCCTGCATTCAAAACCAGCCTCCAGGCTGACGTGGTGGCTCACACCTCTAATCTGAGCACTTTGATTGGCTAAGGCAGGAGGACTGCTTAAGCCCAGGAGTTCCAGGCCAGACTAGGCAACACAGCAAGACCCTGTCTCTACAAAAAATGTTAAAAGTTAGCCAGGTGTGGTGGCACACATCTGCAGTCCCACCTACTCAGGAGGCTGAGGCTGGAGGATGCCCTGAGGCCAGGTGGTCAAGGCTACAGTGAGCTATGACTGTGCCATTGCACTCTTGCCTGGGTGACAGAGCAAGATCTTGTCTCTACAAAATAAATAGGCCAGGCTCAGTGGCTCACACCTGAAAATCCCAGCACTTTCGGAAGCTGAGGTGGGTGGATCACATGAAGTCGGGAGTTTGAGACCAGCCTGATCAACATGGAAAAACCCTGTCTCTACTAAAAATACAAAATCAGCTGGGTGTGGCAGTGCATGCTCATAATCCCAGCTACGTTGTGGGAGGCTGAGGCAGGAGAATCACTTGAACCTGGGAGGCAGAGGCTGTGATGCGCCCAGATCACACCACTGCACTCCAGCCTAGGCAATAAGAACAAAACTCCATCTCAAAAAAAAAAAAATACAAAAATTAGCTGGGTGTGGTGGCACACACCTGTAATCCCAGCTACTCGGGAGGCTGAGGCGGGTGGATCACCTGAAACCAGGGGCAGAGGTTGCAGTGAGCCAACATTGTGCCACTGCACTCCAGCATGGCAACAGAATGAGACTGTCTCAAAAAGGAAAAAAAAAAGCAAGAATCTGTCCCTGAGTGACATCACGGAGCAGGGCCTCACCCAATGAACCTGCCGCCTCCCTGCAGGGTTCAGCATATAAGAGAGAAATAGCCAGGTGCAGTGGCTCAGGCCTGTAATCCCAGCACTTTGGGAGGCTAACACAGGTGGATCGTGAGGTCAGAAGTTCAAGACCAGCCTGGCCAAGATGGTGAAACCCCATCTCTACTAAAAATACAAAAATTAGGGGCCAGGCGCAGTGGCTCACGACTGTAATCTCAACACTTTAGGAGGCTGAGGCAGGCGGATCACTTGAGGTCAGGAGTTCAAGACCAGCCTAGCCAACATGGGGAAACCCCGTCTCTACTAAAAATGCAAAACTTAGCCAAGCATGGTGGCGGGTGCCTGTAATTCCAGCTACTCAGGAGGCTGAGGAAGGAGAATCACTTGAACCTGGGAGGCAGAGATGCAGTGAGCCAAGATCACACCACTGTACTCCAGCCCGGGTAACAGCAAAACTCAGTCTCAAAAAAATTAAAGAAAAAAAAAGATCACTGCTCCCACAAAGCCAGGAACTAAGACAAATATACAGAAACAGAATGCCCCAGAGCCTGTGCTCACAAGCATACCAGACAGACAAGACAGACAGTGCCCGAAAGGGAGGAGAGACAGGGACAGAGGATGAGCAGGCAAGTGTGCACCGAAGAGTGAGAAAAAGGAAGACAGAGAGAGGGATGGGGCGGGGGGACATGCAGCACTAGAAGAGAGGGGAGGGAAGGAAGGCGAGGAGGAATGAGAAGAGGGGGAGCAGGAGGAGGAGAGAAAGTGACAAGGAGAGGACACGCGCACTCTGGGCGGGAGGAGAGAGGGAAGGAACAGGAGGAACTAGGAGACCGGGAGCAGAGGAGGAGGAGGAGGAGGAAGAGAGAAACAGAGCCAGATGCAGAGGCTCAGAGACGCCACAAGCCGGACCCGCAGGACAGCTGTGCACCTGGGAGTAGAAACAGACAACAGAGAACCTCGGCCAGGGCTCCAGGCGCTGCCCAGACCCTACCTTGGATTTACGGTCAGAAGCGGAGGTGTCTCCAGAGAGGTGAGGGGACCCGCGGCCCCGGCCCCTCCGGCCACGGCCCCTGGCTCCTCCTCGAGGCTGCTCCCCGGGACTGCCCTCCCAGCTGCGGGATACCTGGCCCATGCTGGTGCGGCCTCCCTGCTGTGGAGGAGTCCGGCCCCCCTTGCTGGCCCCTGGGGGCCGAGGGGTCCCAGGAGACCTCCGGGAAGGACCCAGGTTCTTCTCCTGGAAGAGGGAAGATGAAGAAAGTACAGTCACTGGGCAGGAGGTATGTGGCCAGGATGGGGCCACCCACTGATACAGGACAGCTGGGGAGTCCTGGGTCCCAGCCCTCAACCCTCTGCCCCTCCCCATCCTCATGGTCCCTCACCCCCATGAGCTCACCGCCTCCAATGCCACGTTCTCCTTCTCCACTGAGCGGCCCTTCCGGGGAGCTGTGACCGCAACTCCCTCAAGTTCAGCTTTTTTACGGTCTTCCTCAATCTCCTAGGAGCAGACAGCCGGGGTAGGGAAGCATCAGCTGCCCTGTCAGCCAGACGGACTCCCACAGATCTCTGAAGGCCTCCTAAGTCTGGCCCCAGCCCAGGCCTCTCTCCTGGGCTCTGGACAAGAAAATGCTCATGTCTCTCGAGCCCCATCACGCTGCTGCCCCCAGATCGCTCCTGTGGTGCCCATCTCTGAGTAACGGCCTTCTCCAAAGCCTGTGGGACCCATGGGGTCTGGCCTTGGTACCTCCCTGACCTCGTCTCTCAATCACTCCAGCTTCCTTGCTGTTCCCAGAACATACCAGATTCAAACCTGCCTCAGGGGCTTTGCACCAGCAGACCCTCTGCCAGGAACACTCTTCTCCCAGAGATCCTCCCACCCCTCACCTCCTGCAGGTCTCCACTCCAATGCTGCCTTCTCTGAGGCCTTCCCTAGAGCCCCACGGAAACCAGCTCCCCTGCTACCCTCTCTGTTTTCATCCCATTCACACCCAGCACGGTGTGTGTCTTGCTCACTGTCTGCTTCCTCCATTATGACAGAATCTGCCTGGGGTCAGTGATGTATGTCACTGACATGTATCCCAAGCCTAGAACACTGCCTGGCCCACAAGGGAAACTCAACGTGCCTTTTTAAAAATGAATGAATACATGAAGAGTGAATAAATGAAACCGCTGCCTCTTCCCAGATCCCATCTCAGGGACAGCCACACCACCTACTCAGGAGCTTTGTCCTAAATGCGCCCTCATCGTCCCGCTGCCCGCAACAGCCCATCAGTAACTAAGTCCCTCTCTACAGCCCGGCCCTGAGCCAGGCATCTCTCTCCCACTAGGGTTCCAGCCCCAGCTTCCTCCTTGGTCTCTGGGCTCCGGTATCACCTCCTCCCACCTACCACCAGACAGCACCCAGAGGCATCTTCCTAAAGAGGTATTCTGACGGGTCCCACCCCTGCTCAAGGCCCTCCCTGGCTCCCCAGTGACCTCAGGGGAAAGTCCAAACTCAGCCTGGTGGCATTCAAGGTCCCGTACAGCCTGGCCCCTGCTGACCTGTCCAGGTCAATTCTCTCCTTAACCTTCCAGCTTGAAGCTCCAAGCTCTCTCCTGCTTCCAACACTTGCACAAACTGTTCTTTCTGCCTGAAACATGTTCCCCTCTCCTTTTCAACTGGCTCTTATCTACTCACCACTCAATCCTCCAGCGTCCACTCCTGCAGGAAGCCCTCCCTGATATCCCCAAGGCTGGGTCAGAAGCCTCCTCTGGACTCTCACAGACCCCTGAATTTCCTGATTCCAGACTTGTCCACTGTGGGACATCCCTGAGTACAGGACTGTCTCCCTGACTAGATGGTGGGCCCTTGAGGGGCAGGCCTGGGTCTGCCTCAGTCACGGCTATATCCCCAGCACCCCTCATCACAGGGGTGGGTACGGTAAAGATCTTGGGGAATATCTGTGAACAAATGAATGAATGAATGAATAATGGAATGAAGGAAGGGATGTTAGGCTAAGGCCTTTGGCTTTTATCCTGACAGTGATGGGGAGCCATGAAAAGGTTTTAAGGAAGGGAGAGGTGAGAAAAACTCACTGCGGGGAAGAGAGGGGATGGGGTCTCCCAGGGCGGGGCTAGGGCACCTGGTAGCGCCGGATGAGGGCCTCATTCTTCCGCCGAAGAGCCTCGATCCTCTTGTCCAACTCAGCATCCTTCTCCTCCTTTGATTTCAAATCAAGTGCGGCTGCCTGAGACAGGGAGACAGTTGAGGGAGGTAAAGAAAAACCTCCATCCACACCAGGGACATTCCCCCAGGGTCTGAGAGTCTGCCCCCTGGAGCCCATCCTCCCAAGCCCCCTTCCCCAAAGCGCAGCACCCAGAGGCGTGCTACAGACCCCACTTTCAGTCTCACCATTTGGCTGGCTGGGTAGGCCCAACGTCAGAGCAAACCCCTCCTGCAGAATCTGGAAGCAGCACTGAGGGTTCCTGGGTGCAGAGAGAAAAGAAGGGCTAAGGCCAATCGGCCCCTGATCTACTTCATCCTCACAGGCACACATAAAAAACTCTGTACCCCAAGAGAATTCTAGCATTCACTCTCCCTCCCTTCTTCAACTGCTAGCTCCCACCTCTCTAAAGAAATTTAGACTCAGCTCTTTCATGATCTTTGTGGACTCACCCAGTTCCCACGTAAACGATCTAGTCAAACCGACTTTGGGGATGCTCTGGCCCCCACTCACTGCTTAAGTATCCAACACTGCTTGCTCTCCTCCAAATGCAGATTCTAGCCCAGCCTCCACACCCTGTAGAATGAGTGTTAGCCCGAATTCCTTAACTCAAGAGAGTTCCAACTGCAACCCCTTAAACCAGCCTGCACAAGAAAGTTCCAGACCCACCTCCTGGTGCCTCTCATATCCAGGCATTCTAGCTCCACCACGTAAGGTTCAGAAACATTCCCAATCCCACGCTCCAGAGAAAGTCTGAACCCCATTCTTATTGGCTGCCCAAGCTCTCAGAGAACATGCCAAGCCCGCGCCTTTCCCAGGGATGTCCTAGGCCCGTCTCGAGCACCCTAAGTAAGGGCGACAGCCTCCCGCCTCTCCCAAAAGTATTCTACACTGAGGCCCAGAACTCACTGTCGAGGCTTCCTGGAACTGACGTTTTGCCCCAGTGAATACTCCACCAGCAACAACAAGGTCAAAACTTCCCAGGCCCGCCCCAGATTCTCTGCGCAAATCTCCAGCCTCAATCCGGCTGGGAATGCCATGGCCACGCCCCCGACATCCTAGAACCCGCTCAGGCCCCGCCCCCGGCTTGGGGGATAAACTTTCTGGCCCCGCCTTTCCCGCCAGACATCTGACTCACCCCCCACCCATGGACCATTAATCTGGCCCGGCTTCCGACTTTCCCGGCCACCCTTTTTCCCCACCTCCTGGCTCCCAGGCAACAGCCTAGACCCGCCCCCACCACCTTCATTATTATTCCAGTCCCGCCCCCGACCTGCCCAGTCCACCCTCTGGCCCCGCCTCCGATTGGCCGGGCCAACTTTCTGGACACACCCCCTGACTTCCTCCCACGCCTTGTTGCGTCAGTATCCGGCCCCGCCCCTGGCTTCCCGAGCCAGGGTTCTGGCTCAGCTACCCGCTTCCCCGCCAACGCTCTGGCCGCGCCCCTGGCTCAGGCAAAACTTTCTGGCTCCACCCCCAGCATTCCCGCCAGCATCCTGGCCCCGCCCCCGGGCTCTCACTACTTTTGGCCCCGCCCCCCCTTGGCGTCAGGCTCTGGGTCCGCCCCCGACGTCCCGGCCAACAATCCGGACCCACTTCCAGCTCAGGCAAAACTTTCTAGCCCAGCCCACAGCGCTTCCGCTCCGCGTCCGGCCCCGCCCCACAGCTGTCCGAGCAACACTTTGGCCCCGCCCACAGCCCAGACACAACTTTTCGGCCCCGCCCCCAGCGGCCGGTCCAGGCTCCGGCACCGCCCCGCCCCTGGCCCGCCTCGGCCATGCCCACCCCCGCAACCGCCCGCCCCGCCAGCGCCCCGAAATGGGCGTCCTGTCCCCGCCCCCCGCAGAGTACTCCGACCCCGCCCCCGCCGGCGGCTCCTCACCCCGCCCGCTCCAACTGGCGCTCCCCGCCACGTGGGGCTTCAAGCCCCGCCTTCCTGGGCGCGCTCCCGGCCCCCTCCCTCCGGTCACCTGTCCCGGAGACCCCGCGGCGTCCGCGACTTCGGCTCCGTCGGCCTCTGCGTCCGCAGCTCCCGGGCCGCGAGCGTCACTTCCTGCCCGCACCACGTGAGGAAGGGAAATAAAGAGGGTCACTTCCGGTCCTATGGGACCGTTTCCGGGAGCTTTAAAGGGGCCGCGCCTCCGTGGTGGAGGCGGGAGCGGGGCCACCTGACTCCCACGGGTGTTCTGGAAGCTCATCCAACCTCCTTCCTGAATTACCAACACCCAGGAAAAGGAGACACCGTCCTCACTCCCTGGCCTCTACCTCTTTGTTCAAGCTATTTCCGCCTCCAGCCCCTTATTTCTCTCAGTAGAAAGAAATATATGTATATATATTGAGATGGAGCCTCCCTCTGGCACCCAGGCTGGAGTGTAGAGGCGCAATCTCGGCTCACTGCAACCCCCGCCTTCTGGGATGAAGCGATTCTCCTGCCTCAGCCTCCCAAGTTGCTGGGATTACAGGTGCCTGTCACCACACCGGACTCATTTTTGTGTTTTTAGTAGAGAAGGGATTTCACCGTATTGGCCAGGCTGGTCTCAAACTCCTGACCTTGTGATCTGCCCGCCTCGGCCTCGCAAAGTGCTGAGATTACAGGCGTGAGCCACCGTGCCCAGACCCCCCCCCCCTTTTTTTTTTTGAGACTCAGAATCTCACTCTGTTGCCCAGGCTGAAGTGCAGTGGTGCGATCTCAGATCACTGCAATCTCTGCCTCCCATATTCAAGCGATCCTCCTTCCTCAGTCCCCCGAGTAGCTGGGATTACAGGCATGCACCACCGCGCCTGGCTAATTTTTGTATTTTTAGTAGAGACGGGGTTTCACTGAGTTAGCCAGGATGGTCTTGATCTTCTGACCTGTGATCTACCCATCTCAGCCTCCCAAAGTGCTGGAATTAAAGTGTGAGCCACCACGCCTGGCCATATTTTTTTTTTTCTTTTTTCTTTTTTTGTGATAGAGTCTCACTGTGTCACCCAGGCTGGAGTGCAGTGACACGATCTCGGCTCACTGCAGCCTTGGCCTCCTGGGTTCAAGCAATTCTCCTGCCTTAGCCTACCAGCCAGCTGGAAATACAGGCGTGTGCCACCATGCCCAGCTAATTTTTTTGTATTTTCAGTAGAGACAGGGTTTCACCAATTTGGCCAGGCTAGTCTTGAACTCCTGACCTCATGATCCACCCACCTAGGCTTTCAAAGTGCTGGGATTATAAGCATGAGCTTCGGCACCTGGCCATAATTTTTTTTTTTTTTTTTTTTTTTTTTTTTTGAGACGGAGTTTCACTGTTGTTACCCAGACTGGAGTGCAATGGCACAATCTCAGCTCACCAAAACCTCTGCCTCCTGGGTTCAAGCAATTCTCCTGCCTCAGCCTCCCGAGTAGCTGGGACTACAGGCGCACACCACCATGCCCAGCTAATTTTTGTATTTTTAGTAGAGACGGGGTTTCACCTTGTTGACCAGGATGGTCTCGATCTCTTGACCTCGTGATCCACCCACCTCGGCCTCCCAAAGTGCTGGGATTATAGGCGTGAGCCACCGCGCCCAGCCTTTTTTTTGTTGTTTTTTGAGATAGAGTCTCGCTCTGTTGCCCACGCCGGAGTGCAGTGCCACGACCTCAGCTCAATGCAATCTTCACCTCCCAAATTCAAGCAATTCTCCTGCCTCAGCCTCCCGAGTAGCTGGGACTACAATTGCTCGCTACCATGCCCAGTTAATTTTTGTATTTTTAGTACAGATGGGGTTTCACCATGTTGGCCAAGTGAGTGTGGCCACTGCTCACACTCCTGACCTCAGGTGATCCTCCCGTCTCAGCCTCCCAAAGTGCTGGGATTACAGGCGTAAGCCGTGATGTCTGGCATAGAGGGATGGAGGGAAGGAGGGAGGGAGGGAGGGAGATAGGGAGATAGATAGATAGTTTTTTGTTTTGTTTTGTTTTTTGGAGACAGAGTCTTGCTCTGTTGCCCAGGCTGGAGTGCAGTGGTGTGATCTCGGCTCACTGCAACCTCCACTGCCCAGGTTCAATCGATTCTGCTGCCTCAGCCTCCTGAGTAGCTGGGATCACAGGCGCATACCACCATGCCCGGCCAATTTTATATTTTTTTAGTAGAGACGGGTTTCACCATGTTGATCAGGCTGGTCTTGAACTCCTGACCTCATGATCCGCCTGCCTTGGCCTCCCAAAGTGCTGGGATTATAGGCATGAACCACCACGTGCGTTTTTGTTTGTTTGTTTGCTTTTTGAAACAGAGTCTCCCTCTGTTTCCCAGGCTGGAAGCACAGATCTGGATCTCGGCTCACTGCAAGCTCCACCTCCTGGGTTCGAGCAATTCTCCTGCGTTATCCTCCAGAGTAGCTGGGATTTCAGGCGTGCACTATCATGCCCAGCTAATTTTTTGGAATTTTTAGTAGAGATGGGGTTTCACCATGTTGGCCAGGCTGGTCTTGACCTCCTGACATCAGACGGTTTGCCAGCCTCAGCCTCCCAAAGTGTTGGGATTACAGGCATAAGCCACCACACCCAGACCATTTTAACCACCTTAAAGTGGTAAGAGAAAACATATCCAGACATACAGTCAAGATGAAGAGCAAAAACGAAGTAAAAATCTTGAGAGCCACTGGGCATGGTGGCTGATGCCTGTAATCCCAGCACTTTGGGAGGCCGAGGCGGGCAGATCACCTGACGTCTGGAGGTTCGAGACTGGCTCCCGCTCTGGCAGCCCGGGCGGTACAGGGCAGGTGGAGGCGGGGAGTCTTCCCCTGGCAGCAGCGCCAGAGCCCAGCGAACCCGCAAAAGGGAAGTCCTTTAAGCTCCTAGGAATTTTAAATGTTGAAAATATTCCCTGCACCTGGGACTCAATATTGTATGGTTTGTTAGGATCTGTTGTGGCTGGGTTTGGACAGTTTTTGTTAACTAGTAGAATTAGAAGATCATGTGGAGTAGGAGGATTTATCTTGGTGACTTTGGGATGCTGGTTTCATTGTAGGTATAATTATGCAAAGCAAAGAATTCAAAAAAGAAATGTCCAGAGAAGGAATTAAAAATAAGATAGGGCGGGTGCAGTGGCTCACTCCTGTAATCCCAGCACTTTGGGAGGCCAAGGCGGGAGGATCACAAGGTCAAGAGTTCAAGACCAGCCTGGCCAACATAATGAAACCCGATCTCTACTAAAAATACAAAACATTAGCTGGACATGGTGGCGCACGCCTGTAATCCCAGCTACTCAGGAGGCTGAGGCAAGAGAATTGCCTGAACCCAGGAGGCAGAGGCTGCGGTGAGCCGAGATCGCGCCACTGCACTCCAGCCTAAGCAGTGAGGGAGACTTTGTCCCTAAAAAGAAAAAAAAAAAGAATTGGGGGCTTTGGAGAAGTGTGTAACTTATGCTTCAGCTTAAACAATAGTCCCAAGAAATCAAAAAATAAATTTTACAAGTTCATCATAAAAATCATAATCATAAAAAGTTTATTGTGTGTATTTGTGCAATGAAGTTCATTTCTGCTACTACGGAGTGGGTAAGGGCGGGCTTGAAGGTCTCCCAGGAAATCTGATGATCACGCCGGCGGACACGTTTCGCACTCTCCACCAGGGGGCGGTGCGGCGCACTCCCCGCCGCTGGAGACAAACGGACTTGCATATTCATTCAACAAATAGCCCCGAAACCATGAGAACCTACTTTGTGCCGGGCCTCCTTCTAGTTCCCGATCTGTGAAATGGGAATGAAAATGTCCCCGCCTCCATGAAGCTCTAGAAAACAGACAACAAACAACTAAACAAAGAAATAGGCAGAGGCAGGCCGGACACAGTGGCTCACACCTGTAATCCCGGCACTTTGGGAGGCCAACTCGGGAGGCTCACGAGGTCAGGAGATCGAGACCATGCTGGCTAACACGGTGAAACCCCGTCTCTACTAAAAATACAAAAATTAGCTACTTGGGAGGCCGAGGCATGAGAATCGCTTGAACCCAGGAGGCAGAGGTTGCAGTGAGCTGAGATCGCGCCACTGCACTCCAGCCTGAGTGACAAGAGTGAGACCTTGTCTCAAAAAAAAATTTTTTTAATAAATGTTGAATTCTACCACAGCTCTCATCTCTACCTCCTGAATCTGTGGATACTCATGAGGATATAAGCAGGTCGTTCATGTAAAGCTCTGAATCGGCATGGAGCCTAGCACACGATAGGTGCACTGTGAGAGCTGCCATGATGATGATGATGATGGCGGTGGTGGTGGTGACTACTGGTCTCTCAGCACCTCCATCTTTCCGGCTGCCCCCTAAAGTCCTCTCTGTCCCCCACATCCATACCCAGTGCCTCAGCCAATTCTATCGGCTCCCCTCCCTTCCTTCCAGCCTTCCTTCCTTCTCCTTCCTTCTTTCTCTCTCTCTCTCTCTCTCTCTCTCTCTCTCTCTCTCTCTCTCTCTCTCTCTCTCTCTTTCTCTTTTTGATGGAGTCTTGCTCTGTCACCCAAGCTGGAGCACAGTGGCTAAATCTTGGCTCACCACAACCTCCACCTCCCAGGTTCAAGTGATTCTGATTCTCCTGCCTCAGCCTCTCTAGTAGCTGGGATTATAGGCACACACCATCATGCCAGGCTATTTTTGGTATTTTTAGTAGAGACGGGGTTTCACCATGCTTCCAGGCTGGTCTCAAGGGATCCTCCTGCATTGGCCCCCAAAGTGCTGGAATTTCAGATGTGAGCCACCACACCCAGCCTCAAATAGCACTTTTTGAGAGACACCATCCCTCAATACTCCTGATGGCCATTCCCTGCTTCTTTTTTCCACTTGAAGTTTCACTTTGTATTGTTACTGTTTTATTTTATTTTTCGAGACAGAATCTCGCGCTGTGGCACAGGCTGGAGTGCAGTGTCGTGATCTCGGCTCACCGCAACCTCCGCCTCCCAGGTTCAGCAATTCTCTGCCTCAGCCTACCGAGTAGCTAGGATTACAGGCTCCCACCACCACATCTGGCTAACTTTTGTATTTTTAGTAGATACAGGGTTTCATCCTGTTGGCCAGGCTGGTCTTGAAGCCCTGACCTTGTGATCCACCTGCCTCGGCTGCCCAAAGTGCTGGGATT